GGCCGGGCGCCGCTCGGGGCCGCGGGCCTGCCCGGGAGCCCCTTCGCGGGCGGCGCCCCGGAGGCCGAGCTGAGGCCACCATGTGACCCGGTGCCGCTGCTCCGTGCGAGCAAGAGGCGGTGCTGCTGGCCCCCGTCCATGCTCCTGGGCCGCGGCCCCGCGCAGGCCAAGCATGAGGCCGCGCCCCGACGGTCGGGGGCTGCGGGCCGGCGCCGCGCTGTCTCCCGCGCTGCTGCTGCTGGTGCTGCTGCTGCCGTCGCCTCCGCTGCTGCTGCCTGGGTGCCTGTGGGCGGCGGGGACCCCCGCACCGTCGATGCCCGGGGCTCGGGAGGACGGCGTGCCCGGCCCGGGCCGCGTGAAGCGTGGCTGGGTGTGGAATCAGTTCTTCGTGGTGGAGGAGTACACGGGCACCGAGCCCTTGTACGTGGGCAAGGTAAAAGGGGGTCTCGCCCTGTCCAGCCCCTAGAACCCTGGGAAACACCCACTGCTAGGTGGAAAGACCCAGTTCCTTGGCTCAGACCTTCTTCCAGAGGCCTGCAACAGCATCACTGTCCCCCCTCCATCCTCACCCCGCACCTCACTTTTGCAGCATAGAGAAGGCTAGTAAGTAGGTGGAGGAAAATGCATCTGGAACCAAAACACAAGCTTGCAAATCTAAGCATATCACACACCCTCCCCCTTCTGCTTAAAATTCTTCAGTAGCTTCCCAAGCCCTCGGTCAAGTCCAATTCCATCCCATTGTCTACTCAGAGTCAGTTCCCCCCTTCCCCAGCCTCATCTCCCGTCATCAGCCCTCCTCAGTTCAGTCACACTGCCCTCCTCGTGTCCTTCTGAGTGTCCTTTCTGTGCCCCCTGCACCATCCTGCCATTTCGCTTTTGCCTAAGCTATTTCTTCCCCTTGAACTTGGCCTCCCACTAATCACCTTACACTCACAGTACAGGTCTCTGCTCAGTCGCCCCTTCTTCAGAGAGCCTGGTCACCTCCCCCAGGCCAGGACCATCCTGTATCTGCCTTCATGACACTTAATTATACTACTGTATGTTTGTTTCATTCTACAATTAATGTATGTCTTTCCTATTAGATCATTGTCTGCATTGTTGTTGAGTACCTGGAGTCAGAACTGACCCATAGCTGACCCTCCAGTGGGTTTTCAGAGGCTGTTAATCGGCAGTTAATCGAAGGAGATTCCCCATCCTCTCCCCCTGTAGCCGGTGGTAGCCTTGAACCACACACCTTTGGGATTGCAGTGCATCTTCTTGCCACTAGGCCACCAGAGCTCTATTAAGTCCCAATGCCCAGTTCTGGTGGTGTAGTCCATAGGGCATTGTGCCACTAATCCAGAGGTGATTCAAATGGACAGTCTCCTCAAGGACAGTACAGTCTCCATAGTCCAGTGGAGGCTCAGCCATGAGTTGAGTCCAGCTCAAAGGCAATGAGTTTGAGGAGTGTTTTCTGGTACAATGGTTAAACTCTTAACTCCTGATCAAAAAGCCTGTGACTCAAACCCTCTAGTGGAGTCACAGGAAAAATATGTGGTGGTCTTCCTCTGTAAAGATCACAGCCCAGGAAGCCCTATGGGGACAGTTCTGCTCTGTAGGTCGGAGTGAATTGAAATTGAGTTGACAGCTTATAGTAAGCACAGACTTGCTCACAAGCTGCTTATTGAATGAATGAATGAATGAAAGCAACTTCCCAAACTCTCTGAATACGTCATTGTTAATCTGGATGAACATCTGGGCCAAGGGAATAAGAAGATCTGAGAATTTTTATTGAGTCAATCTCCAAGTACATGAGGCTCCGAGTAAGCCTAGTGCACATCAGGCTTAATACTGGGATATGGGAGTTAAGACCCAGCCTTTGCCTTTTGAAGATTCCCAAATGTCCCCCCAAAATTGAAGAGACATTCAAATGCATAAAATGTCTTGCAAGTCAGCACTAGAACCTGAGTAAACGCATTCAGCAAATGGTATCTTTTGTCTTTTGTCATTATGGAGGGGGAAACATCTGAGCAGAGTTTTGACGTATGAGTAGGAGTTCATCAGCCTGATTGAAGAAGCTTATGCAAATCCTTAGAAAGCTGAAGGAACCTGGCTTGCAAGCAGAAGGGACCTAGAGATCAAAGAAAGGCAGTGCTCTGGAACTGGAAGGGCTCTGATTTCTGCTAAAAACCAGTCAGCTTTCCAGGAAGTTTTTAGTTGGCAGGGAAAGCAGAGTAACTTGAGACCTGAAAGGCTGAGTCGGACACTTGGTTATGAGGCTCAGGGGTCAGGATCTTTGGCAGGGAAAGAGGGCCGTTCTGAATTTAAACCCCTGGGTTTGCCTTGTAAGAAATGTAGACTTTCTCTGGTCTCGAGAAGTTTCCAGTCCTTGGGTACACTTCCCCCATACATGTGCTGTAAATAAAGATCTATAATTCAGCAAAGTGATGATTGACATTTGGAGCCTGGAGATGTTCAGGGTCTTTCTCAGGATTGCCCAGAGACCTTGGGACGGGACCTAGGACTTCTGACTCCCAACCAGGACACTGATAGTTGCCAGCCCTGGTAGGAATTGGGAGAAGGGGTGGGTAAGAAGAAACCGCTGTGGCCACATGCTATGCAGCTGTTAACAGTGCAAAGTTAGGGCAGCTAAGAAAGCAAACATCGAGCCCAACACATCTGAACTCGGCCTGGTGCTGCCAACGCGTTCATTGATTGTGTGACCTCAGACCCGTTACTTCACTCTTTGAACCTCCTTCTCTAAAAATGAAGCTGGGAGCCCACTTCCTAGAATTGTTGGGGGGAATATTAGAGAAAATGTAAAGTATAAGGCTATGAGCTTGGGGCATGTCTGTTGTTAGACCTTGGTTTGGGATTGAAATGATTTTCACATAATGCACTTGGCCTTTAAACTTGTTTTTGCTGTTGAGTGTTATTGAGTCAGTTCTGACTCACAGTAGCTCTGAAGGAGAGAGAGAAGAAATGCCCCACCGGGTTTTCTTGGTTATAATATCTTTATAAACTTTTTAGAGAAGATTTAGAGTATAGATCAGTTTTCCATTCGACAAGACATGCACATGTTGTTTCATGACATCGACGGCAATCCCCACGAGAAACAGTGTTGTTCTCATTTTTTCTACTCCTCCTTCCATCCTAACCCTTCCTGCCTTCTGAACTTTGTCCTTGGGGAACACACTGCCGTTTGGGTCTCAATTTGTTACTGTTCTAAAGAGTATATACCTTGTGAGTGATGTTATTCATATTGTACAACAACAATAGAAACTCATTGCACTTGACTCAGAACCCCCTCATAGCTGACCCTCCAGTGGGTTTTCAGAGGCTATAAATTGCACAGGAAGAGATTGCCCATCTTTTCCCATGGAGCAGCTGGTGAATTCAAACTGCCTGCCTTTAGGTTGGTAGAGCAACTCACTAACCACTGGGCTACAAGAGTTCACTTGAGCACCTTATAGACCTGCCTATTATTTCACTGAAAATTTAGCCACGAAAATGGGACTCATTCCAGGACTGAAGGGTGTGAAGAACCATAGTTAGGGGTTTCCATCAGTCTCTCTATCTGACCAGTAAATGTAATCTCTTTAATGGTGATAATTTTTACAGAATCCAATTGCCAGCTCTTTCTCCCTAGGACCCACTGGGTAAGTTTGAACTGCTAACTTTCTCTTCAACTTAGCACTTAACCACTGTACCACCAGGGCTTTTAGCCTTTACACCCTAAGGTAGAAATTATTACTTCCTTTTTGTAGACCAGGAAACTGAGGTTTGTTCGGAAAGGGCAGGGCCATAGAATAGGTGGATGATGTAGCCAGGATTTGAACCGGGTGAGTTGGAGTCTTTAGGACCCGGTGAATATAGGCCAGTCTCCAGCCCCATTCTCCAAAGCTTTCTAAAGCCTAAGACTCAGAAGGAAGAATTTTGTCTAAGAAAACTCCTCTAGAGAAACAGGCAAGGGCCTCAGTGCCAGCTGTGGTCACCATGGGCGCCTCAGCCCTCTGTCTGCCCAGTGTCCTCCCCTTCCACCCACAGGCTGAAAAGATGAAAAACGACAGGGGTGAGTCACCGCTTTTCTGTGCATCCACCTAGCTTTTGTCATCTCAACAGCATGAGTCAAACCCCCCCTGCTTTCCTTGAACCAGTCAATTGGAGATGGGAGGCCCCTTCTAGGTCCTCTCCTTACAAGACAGGAAAAAGCAAGGCCCAGAGGCAAAGAAAATTGGTGGCGGCATTGATCCAAGAAGCCAGACCTTCTGATCCTGGCTCTGCGGGCAGTTCTGTTTAACAGACCTGCCATGAGCCTTGTGGTGTAGCTGGCTGGTGCAAACAGTCAAGAACTAGATCCAAGAAGTGTGTGGTCTGAACCTGCCTAGAGTGCCTCGGAAAGAAGGCCTGGCCGTCCGCTTCTGAAAAGTCAGAGCCTTGAGAACCTGCAGTTTTACTCCAAAAAAGTTGGGACTGACTCAGTGGCTCCACTCTGGCCACTGTGATCAGGACTCTGCCCTCCCCCTCCTCCACCATCTTACTCAGAACCTCAGCTCTCTGATGTCCAGGATCACGTCCAGAAAGCTCTCTGTGTGAGGAGGAAAGAGAAGCTTCCATCTATTTGCAAACGGGTGCCCAAAGCAGGTTTTCTTAAGAGAAATGGAAGCGGTATCCATTCATAAGCTGTCAGACTCAGGCTACAGCACCTGGCTTCAAATCCCAGCACGGCTGCTTCGAGGTTCTCTCACGTTAGGTACATTGGTTAACCTTTTGAGTCTCAATTTCCTCATCTGTTGAATGGGTCTATTGGCAATACCCAATTCAAAGGGCTATGAATTGGAGTTAGTGAGTGAGTGTGTGCCAAGAACAGCATAAAACAACGACCTGCGAGCATCAGTTTTACCATTTTAGATCCCACTTGACATCTCCACTGAGAGCCATGGAGGCACAGTGGTTAAAGCACTCAGTTGTTAACTCAAAGGCCAGCAGTTCAAGCCCCGCAGAGGCTCTGCCGGAAGAAGCTGGGACCGTCTACTTCTGTAAAGACCAAGTGTGCTGGGAGGAAGCACTCCGCGGCCACTTCCACGCTGTCTCACAGGGCTGCTGTGAGCCGGGATCGACTCAGTGGCGGTGGGCTTGGTGTTTCGGTTTTGCTGTCTCCACCTCCTGAGTGTGCCATCTGCATGGATACTACAAGGCCTTGCTTCAAATCCAGAAAGCCTTTTGGCAAGCCAGCATCACAGTTTCTCACCGCTGCGTGGGGGAGGCTGTCACTGGCCCAGCCCCGCTCTGAGAATGTGAGCGGAGGCTATTATAAACCACCTGGCCCCTTCCCAACCGCGTCTATGCAAACACAGGCGCTGTGTACGCGCGCGTGCGCGCACACACACACACACACACACACACACGCACACACTCTCATTCCACGCTCTCCATATTCAGGGAGAAAGGACT